TGGAGAGGGAATCAAGGCATAAGTAATAAATGACTGGTTTAAACTTAGGAGGATAAGTGTAAATTTCAACATAAGCACAAATACAGTTAACAAACTGACTCATCAAAATAAAAAAGAAGAAAAACATAGACTCAATAAACACAACATCCATAATAATGAAAAGAAATTCCATAAATAAAAGGAACTCAGCACAGGAAAGAAAGAGGAACAAAGAAAATGTCAGCACTACAAAAAAAAAGTACAACAAAATGATAGCAATAAACTCACACCTATCGATAATCACACCGAATGTAAACTGCTTAAACGCACCTGTAAAGAGATAGAGAGTGACAGAATGGATAGAAAACATGACCCGTCAATATGCTGTCTACAAGAGACACACCTTAGACACAAAGACAGAAATATTTTAAAAATCAAAGGATGGAAAAAAATATATATCACTCAAACAGCAACCAAAACTTGGAAACTGAACAAACCTTGCTTAAAAAACACTGGATAACAGAAGAAATCAAACACAGAATTAAAAAATTCATGGAATCAAATGAGAATGAAAACACATCATACCAAAACCTTTGGCACACAGAAAAAGCTATGCTCAGAGGACAATTTATAACAATGAACACACACTTCAAAAAAGAAGAAAAGGCCAAAATCAAAATGTTAGCCCTACAACTCGAACAAATAGAAAGAGAACAGCAAAAGAAGCCTACAGTCACCAGAAGAAAGAAAATAATAAAGATTAGAGCAGAAATAAATGAAATAGAGAACAAAAAAATAATAGAAAGAATCAACAAGACCAAAGGTTAGTTCTTTGACAATATCAACAAAATCGACAAACCATTAGCCAAAGTGACAAAAGAAAAATAGGAGAGGAAGCAAATAACCCAAATAAGAAATAAGATGGGGGACATTACAACAGACCCAACTGAAATAAAAAGGATCAAAACAGAGTACTATGAAAAACTATATTCCAACACTTCCTAGAGGAAATGGACAAATTTCTAAAAACACATTACCTACCTAAACTAACATAAACTGAGGTCGAAAATCTGAACAGACACATAACAACAGAAGAGATTGAAAAGGTAATAAAAAAAAAAACTCCCAAAAAAAGCCCTGGCCCAGATGGCTTCACTGGAGAATTCTACCAAACATTCAGAGAAGAGCTCACACCAGTACTACTCAAACTATTTCAGAGTATAGAAAAAGAAGGGATACTCCTGAATTCATTCTATGAAGCAGCATAACCCTTATACCAAAGCCAGGCAAAGACACCACAAAAAAGAAAATTACAGACCAATATCTCTCATGAATATAGATGCAAAAATTATGGACAAAACTCTAGCCAATAGAATTCAGCATCATACCAAAAAAAATACACCATAACTAAGTAGGATTCATACCAGGTATGCAAGGATGGTTCAACATTAGAAAATCAATCAACTTAATCCACCACATAAACAGAACAAAAGAAAAGAAACACATGATCATCTCAATCGATGCAGAAAAGGCATCTGATAAAGTCCAACGCCATTCCTGATAAAAACTCTCAATAAAATACAAATAGAAGGAAAATTCCTCAACATAATAAAAGGCATCTACACAAATCCAACAGCCAACATCATTATCAATGGAAAGAGGCTGAAACCATTCCCCTGAGAACAAGAACAAGACAAGGATGCCCTTTATCACCACTCCTATTTAACACTGTGTTGGAAGTCCTCACTAGAGCAATAAGGCAAGAAAAAGAAATAAAGGGCATCCAAATTTTGCAGGACGGGACAGTGTTTCATTCTGTTGTACACAGGGTCACTATGAGTGGGAACTGACTCAACAGCACTTAACAACAACAACAAATCGGTAAGAAAGAAGTACATCTATCCCTATTTGCAGACGATATGATACTATACATAGAGAATCCTAAAGATTCCATGAGAAAACTGCTGGAACTAATAGAAAGATTCAGCAGAGTAGCAGGATACAATATAAACATACAAAAATCAGTTGGATTCCTATACACCAACAAAGAGAAACAAAAAAAGGAAATCAGGAAAACAATATCATTTATAAAAGCCCCTAAAAAGATAAAATACTTAGGCATAAATCTAATGAAGGATGTAAAAGACCTCTACAAAGAAAACTACAAAACACTACTGCAAGAAACCAAAAGAGACCTACATAAATGGAAAAACATACCATGCTCGTGGTTAGGAAGACTCAATATTGTAAAAATGCCAATCCTATCCAAAGAGATCTAAAGATATAGTGCAATCCCACTCCAAATATCAACAGCATTCTTTAACAAATTGGAAAAACTAATCGTTAAATTTACATGGAAAGGAAAGAGGCCCCGTATAAGTAAAGCATTATTGAAGAAGAAGAATAAAGTAGGAGGCCTCACACTATCTGATCTCAGAAACTACTATACAGACATGATAGTTAAAACAGCCTGGTATTGGTACAGCAACAGACACATAGACCAATGGAACAGAACTGAGAACCCAGCATAAATCCAGCCGCTTATGGTCAGCTGATCTTTGACAAAGGTCCAAAGTCCACTAAATGGGGAAAAGACAGTCTCTTTAACAAATGGTGCTGGCAAAACTGGATGTCCATCCATAATAAAATGAAACGGGACCCATACCTCACACCATACACAAAAACTAATCCAAAATGGATCAAAGACCTAAGTAGAAAACCTAAAACTATAAAGATTATGGAATAAAAAATAGGGATAATGCTAGAGGCCCTAATATATGGCATAAACAGGATACAAACCATAACTAACAGTGCACAAACACAGAAGATAAACTATATAACAAAGATCTCCTAAAAATTAAACACTTACGCTCATCAAAAGACTTCATCAAAACAGCAAAAATAGAACCTACAGACTGGGAAAAAACTTTGGACTATGACATATCCAACAAGGGTCTAATCTCTAAAATCTATAAGATACTGCAACACCATAACAATAAAAAGACAAATACTCCAATTTAAAAATGGGCAAAGGATATAAACAGTCACTTCACCAAACAAGACATTCAGGCAGCTAACAGACATATGAGGAAATGCTCGAGATCATTAGTCATTAGAGAAATGCAAATCAAAACTACAATGAGATACTATCTCATCCCAACATTACTGGCACTAATCAAAAAAACAGAAAATAACAAATGCTGGAGAGGTTGCAAGGAGATTGGAACTCTTATGCACTGGTGGTGGGAATGCAAAATGGTACAACCATTTTGGAAGACGATATGGTGCTTCCTTAAAAAGCTAGAAATAGAGGCAGGGCCAAGATGGCAGAGTAGTCAGATGCTTCCTGTGGTCCCTTACAACAAAGACCTGGAAAAGCAAGTGAATCGATTGTTTACAGCAATCTAGGAACCCTGCACAACCAAGGCAAAGTTGAGGAATCGGACTGAGTGGCGGGTGGAGGGAGAGATGGTTTGGAAGCAGCAAAGAGTTGCCAGACCTGACCCGGTGGGAGCCTGAGCCCCTCAGGCTGGATCAGTTCCTGTGCATGGTGAGATGAGCAGTGGTACTTGGGAGGCATTTTCCACATTGGGAGAGGCCCAGCAGCAGACAGTCTACTTGGCCATCCAGAACCAGTGAAAAGCAGCACTCAAGAGGCTAAAGATAAATACTTGCATCTGGCCTACTGCAGGGATTAAAAAAAATAAAAATTAAAAAACACCCTGTTTGGGAAAAACTTATCTCCCCCATGTCCCTCCCCACTCCCTGCTATGCACTGGGTCCTGGGCTGGCTTCAGCGATTGCCAAGTCCCCTGGGCCAGAAGTACGACCCCTCACGTGCCCTGAGCCATTCTCCTGACCTTGGAGAGGAAACAAATTAACAAACAGGGAAAAAATAAGCTGCCGACTCCCCTAAGCCAGGACCTCAGGGTTGGCACAGCTCCTTTGCCTAAGCACAGGCATAAAGGGAACACAGACTTTGAATGCCTTCCACCTCTGCATGGACATGTGTGGGCCCTTTTCAACAGTGTAGGCCCTCATTGCCACAGTACAACAGGGTATATACCTGAAGTCAAACTTCAACCGTTTCAGCTGTGAAATGGCAGGTTTGTGATATTTGACACTGCTCTGCCCATTAACAGGTTCCTCACCTGCCCACATCAGCGGCCTGAGGACTGGTGGCTCCACCCATGCCACCTAGCCACCCACGACAGGGGTCCAAGAATAAGTGGTGCCCCCCAATCCTTACAGCCAACAGCATTGGGTGCTCATAGTCCAGCTGCAAAACCCACCTACCTACTAGCTCTAGGGAACAGAGACACGTTTTCCTTTCAGACACTCAGGGGCAGCCGTCAGCCCCCAGCCTTGCTCAGCGCTTGACCCCTTACTGCAGCCAGGTACCTGTGCCTACTCCAATCACCTATACCTGTCTAAGACTGTAGGTGAGAACCTGCACCACACACTTGGTGACCAACTACCTGGACATCTGAGCTGAATCCATACAAGAAAAGTTAACAGACTCCTGGACTCATATACTTAGTAACACATCTAATCACCTGGTGACAGGACATTACAACTTCAAAAGCACCAATAATCAAACTAGCTCACATGAGCAGCCTATTTGGGCATATCAAAACAAAATGAAACAAGAAGCTAAGACACAGTAAGCAAATATAAAATAAATAAATGATAATAACTTATTGATGGTTCAGAGAAAACAGTTAATATCAAATCACATACAGAGGCAGGTCATGACGGCTTCAGCAAGTTCCCAAAATAAAGAATCAAGAAATTTTCTGGAGGAAGAGAATTTCTTGGCATTACCAGAGGCAGAATAAAAAAGATTAATATACAGGAGTCCTCAAGAGATCAGGAAGGAGATCAGACAAAACGCAGAACGAGCTAGAGAACACACGGACAAAGCAATATAGGATCTTAAGAAGGTTATTCAAGAGCATAATGACAAATTTAACAGGCTGCAAGAATCCATATAGAGACAGCAATCAGAAATCCAGAAGACCGTGCTTGCTTCGGCAGCACATATACTAAAACTGGAACGATACAGAGAAGATTAGCATGGCTCCTGCCCAAGGATGACCCGAAAATTCGTGAAGCATTCCATATTTTTCGGCTTCACTGGAGAATTCTACCAAACTTTCAGAGAAGAGATAACACCACTTCTACTAAGGTATTTCAGAGCATAGAAAAGGATGGAATACTCCGAAACTCATTCTACGAAGCCAGCATAATCCTGATACCAAAACCAGGTAAAGACACCACAAAAAAGAAAATTACAGACTGATATCCCTCATGAACATTGACGCAAAAATTCTCAACAAAATTCTAGCCAATAGAATTCAGCAACATATCAAAAAAATAATTCACCAGGTATGCAGGGATTGTTCAACATTAGAAAAACAATCAATGCAATCCATCACAAAAATAAAACAAAAGAACGACATGATCTTATCAATCGATGCAGAAAAGGCATTCAACAAAGTCCAACACCCATTCATGATAAAAACGCTCAATAAAATAAGAATAGAAGGGAAATTCCTCAATATAATTAAGGGCATTTATACGAAACCAACAGCCAACATCATCCTAAATGGGGACACTTTGAAAGCATTCCCCTTGAGAACAGAAACCAGACAAGGATGCCCTCTATCACCACTATTATTTAACATTGTGCTGGAGGTCATAGCCAGAGCAATTAGGCTAGAAAAAGAAATAAAGGGCATCCAAATTGGTATCTCTATTTGCAGCTGATATGATCTTATACACAGAAAACCCCAAAGAATCCACAAGAAAACTACTGGAACTAATAGAACATTTCAGCAAAGTTTCAGGATACAAGATAAACATACAAACATCAATTGGAGTCCTTTACACCAACAAAGAGAACCTTGAAGAGGAAATCACCAAATCAATACCATTTA